GAACTATTTAAGCATGAAGTGATTCTACTCATGGTTCTAAATGAAACTATTGCCTTTACTAAAGAAACTTTGAAGAACCATCTTTTTAAGTGAAGGAGAACTCTTTTTGGTGCTATACAGCACTGTATACAATACAATCTCTATCAATTACCATGCAAAAAACCATTTAAGCATGAAGAACTCATGGTTTTAAATAGAACCATTGCCTTTACTAAAGAACCCTTGAAGAACCATCTTTTTTAAATGTGTAGCCCACGCTTGGCATTGGGCATGGAGACCTTAGGCTCATGTGCAGCTGCTCCATAGCATCCCTTTCTATTGTTCAGTGCTTTTCTATGGGGACTGTACAGGCTGTTACAGCAATGGGTGACCTTAAAGCAGTTAAAGGCACTCATTAGGAGGGACTGGACTCTGGATCTTCCAGGCCGAAGCTCCTCTGTCCGTGTTTGGCTCTGTGTACCTGTGGAGGGTGATTGTGTACACATGCGCTGTCTCCAGTGCGGCCCTGCTCGGAAAATTACGGACATATTTGCGGTCTAGAAGATAACAGTGGAGCCGTCCCGGCAGGGATAAAAGGCACAAACGGCCAAATCCATCAGCAGAGATGTGATAACACAGCACACGCTTCTCTAGGACCACACAGTGCTCAAAAACAGAACCGAAAAGATGGAGAGGCAGATACGAGATGAGAGCAGGACTGGAGATGAAAGAGGACGCAGAGCTTTGGATGGTGTTCGGATGAGAGGAGCGGGGGAAGAGAGGCGAGGGGATAAACCGAGAGATGGAGGGAGGTGTAGAACAGCGATTCCTCTCGCTTAATCCTCTGGACACATGCACGAGAGAGAGAGAGAGAGAGAGAGAGAGAGAGAGAGAGAGAGAGAGAGAGAGAGAAAGAGAGAGAGAGAGAGAGAGACAGGTGGAAAAGATAAAAGAGGATATCCATCTTCATGATGTGGTTGTAAATAAACTAGTATTGACAGAGTGCAGCTCTGTTGGGGTTCAGTGAATGAGCAGTGCTGTAAACTGGCCATTAGGTGAATCAGCACATCTCAAAATAATGAAAAATTCAGAGACCCTTCATTTATTTAATTTCCCATCAAAACAGCAAGTTATTCATTTTTTAAGAGATACTGCAGAAGAGATAAGTTTGGGCAGAGCAGGGCACCCAACACATTTAGCTTTCTGTGCAATAATTTTACAAATAATTAAGCAAATGATTAATGAATAATCATATTTTTGTAATAGCAACATAAACGTCTCTGCTACAAATAAACACTTTGTTTCTTTGTTTCTACTGTTCATATACAAACAGTGTAAATGTGCCCTCAAAGGTACAACAGCAGTTTTAAATGGGAATTCCACCATTTTCTTCAAATTTTTTTTTAATAATTTAGTCCTTAAGATGCAATCAGAGTGATTCAGAGTGGTTTGGTGTGAAATGGTTCAGATGTCTTTACAGTGGTGGTGATGGGAACCAGAGGTCGCCATGACTACAACACTAACATAGCCATTTTATTTACTATCCAAAACCACCAGTGAACCTACACGAGTCTTCTGAGTTTAAATGGAATGTTGATGATGGAAAAATAGTGGAAAATCTGAATCTAAAATAATCTGAAAATCTGAAATAAGTTTTCTTGTGAGGGGACTATTTTGCCTTATAACACCCTTTATGTATCCCTCCACCATGAAGAGATTAAAATAAATTGATTAAAATACATTTTAGGCCATAATTTTATCACACAACTATCATAAAACAGTGTCTCAGTCATCAGGCAGTGAATTCATAACCCTTTCATGTAGTAACTTTCTGTAAGGGGGCTTTTAGAGGCGAACGTCTGGTTCCTATCACCACCACTGTGAGCAATTCTGTCTCGGTAAGTTTATCTAGAACTGAACGTTCACACCAAACCACTCTGAATGACTCTTAACTGTTTAATTATACAGGGGTTTTGAAAAATTGGTGTAGTTCCCCTTTATGGTCCAATTGTGAACCTTAAATAAGTTTTTCCAGGTGAAAATTCGTATTTGTACTTTTTCATAACCGAATGATTTAAAACAGAACAGTAAAATAAAAGTCCTGGAGGCGAGACGGGGTGTGTGGAGTCAGTACAGCTTAGAAAATATCATTTCAGTGGATTATGGTACAGTTATTTTCCCTGACTAAAGGTACTGAGATGAACCCTTGAGGGTTCCACCCCAGTGACAAGAGGGGCCCCAGTGACAGTTTAGTACCTTTATTTCTGAGAGTGTAGGGGTGGGTTAACCGTAACAGACCCTGCTAGAAACGTCTGATGAATCAGTGCAAACAAAGTTAATTCAGTATAATTTGTTGTAAGAAACAAATTTCCAATCGAACTGCATTATATATTATTATCTATAAGACAGACAGACAGATCACCTGATACACACACACATCAGATTATAGATGAACACTGACCTGAGACTGTGTGACGAACAATGACAGATTTATTTTATGGACAGTAAATTAAAGCATCAGTAAAATATGAACATTGTTTCTGAATAACTACAGCTTTACCAACTGATAATGTCAATTTCATTAATATACTTATTTAAAACCAGAATACTGACATCTGAAAGATACAAATAAAGCAGTAGAAAATCTCTGTTTTCAGATGTTTCTGTTTTTCTTTTTAAAATCTGTGTAAACTGGAACAAAAAGACTGAATGTACTTTATCAGTCTTTGTGTACTGAAGGTGTCTGAGCTGCAACGCTGTGTAAGAACTAACCCCGCAGTGCGGAGGCTGGACTGAAGCCCAGCTGCACTTGCTGTGAGCTTGTCAGCTGCTTCTAAACGGTGCTGCGCTGTAGGAAACAAGATGATGAATAAAGTAATATAAGGTTGGATTTTGTGATTTTACACAAACAGCTCAGTAACCGAAAAAAAACCTGTGCTGAAAAAAAATGACTTACATGCCCTGAAAACACTCTTTAGCTCAGATCTCTTGCTGACCAGTCGCTGTGAATTTTGGTGGGAGGCTGCGGCTAGGAAATGTGGTAATGCTCACGCTGCCTCACCTTCTATAACAACATAAAACGTGTGTTAATTTGTGCTCCGTGTTGTTCCCTGCACTTCCCGATAGGATAATCCACTTGTATAAAGAAGGAGAAAGTCAAAGGACAATAAGTGAAGTTTTAAAAAACTGGAGTTCAAAAACTGATTAAAAGCTACAGAGAAAATGTGACTCCTAACAACCACCTGGAAAACCTGGTAGACACCAAAACTGCCTCTATCTGATAAACAGCACTTGAAAGGCTCACATGACAGAAAAGCAAAAATTTTGTACCTTTTTGCAATTAAAGAGTTTAATGTAATTTGTAAACAAGCTTCAAAGCATGAACCACAAAAACAGCCTGTTTTGGATTCATTATTTTTGTGATGTCACAAAAAAACAAATTATTTGCATATATTCACACTGTCAACTGAAAGCAGTTTAGCTCCACCCAGATCTGAAAACATCCACAGGTGTTTCTGTCCATCCTTCCACTGTGAGAAGACGACTCAGCGCTATGGGTCTGAAAGGATGTGTAGCTGTCAAGAAGAACCTCACTGAGAAAAGGAGACGGACACATCAAACAAAGAAGCTGAACAATGGACTGACCACCCCAGAGTCCAGACCTCAACATCACTGAATGTGTTTGATTACTTCAGAAACTGATCAACCAGCTTCTAAGACTGAACTTTGGAGGTGAGAAAGCAGAGAAAGAGAGAGAAAGCGGGAAGAAAGAGGGAGAGAGTGGGAGTGAAAGAGTGGGGAGAAAGAGGGAGAGAGGGGGAGATAAAGATAGAGAGTGAGAAAGAGAAAGAAAGAGAGCGAGGGAGACAGAGAGAGAGAAAGAGAGAAGAGGAAGAAAGAGAAAGGAGAGATTGACGGATGAGAGAGAAAGAGAGAGAGAGAGAGAGAGAGAGAGAGAAAGCAGAAAGAAGAGAAAGAAAGGAAGAGGAGAGACAAAAGGAGGGAGATAGAGAATGTGAGATTAGGAGCTTCTCCTATGAACAATTCAAGCACGGTTTTACCAGAGAAGGAGAGAGAGAGAGAGAGAGAGAGAGAGAGAGAGAAAGGGACGGAGAGGGAGGGAGAGAGAGGGAGAGAGAGAGAGAGAGAGAGAGAGAGAGAGAGAGAGACAGAAAGGGGGGGAGAGGGAGAGAGAGAGAGAGAGAGAGAGAGAGAGGGAGAGAGAGAGAGAGAGAGAGAGAGAGAGAGGGGAACGAGGGAGAGTAAAGCCACAGTGACAGAAAGCGCGAGCGGAGTGGAGGAGAGAAGGAGGGGCAGAGTGTGAGAGAGAGAGAGAGGCTCGTAGTGACAGCGGGGTCAGAAGGAAGGAGGCAGAGTGAGAGTGAGAGTGAGAGAGGGAGAGAGAGAGAGGACACCCGGAGGGGAAAAAGAAGAGGAAAGGGGAAAACAGCGAACAAAAAAGGATGATGGAGGGGAAGAAAGAAGGCGGGGGGTAAAGCTGCGGCTCTCCGGTTGCCAGGGCTGGACAGAGACGTGTGAAGACGGACGAGGAGGAGGAGAAGTGTGGCTCAGGGTGAGAGAGAGAGAGAGAGAGAGAGAGGGAGGAATCGTGCAGATGTGTGTACGATGCATAATTGACAGCGTGCTGGCCGAGTCCCGCGCGCGGCTGACTGTGCTCTGCTGGTGCTGCCTGGTGAACGTGCCTGGTGGATTATAACAGATAAAGAAGAGAGGAGGACGCGCGTGGAGAGAAAGGGAGGGTGCCGGGGGTCAGTGTTTGAGGGGACAGCTGGACGGAAGGGCCAAACGAACGAGGGCAAGGTCAGGCTACGGTCGCCTAGGTGAAGCGCTCGAGGAAAATCACGTGGGGGGGCATCCCGGGACAAGGCAGCACGAGACAGGGTCCTGTTCCCTCCACGTTCCCCTCTTTCTCGTGCTTTCATCAGGATAGAAGAACCGGCCAGGCTGAAGATTCCGAAGAACCGGCCAGGCTGACGATTCTGAGGAACCGGCCAGGCTGAAGATTCTGAAGAAACAGCCAGGCTGAGGGTGAACATGAAGAACATGGGAACGTGGACCTTCCTGAAGAACTTGCAGTAGAGGCAGCCTCTCTTCCTCTTTCTCTCCCTCCCACTGCTGCTGCCCTACCTCCAGGGAGACGAGGAGAACCTCACGGGTCCCTCAAGTCAGTAACAGGTTCTTGGTGGATGCCTCCTGTGTCCAGCCATGGGGGAATGGACCATCCTGGAACGCCTCCTGGAGGCTGCTGTCCAGCAGCACTCTACTATGATAGGAAGGTAGGGAAGCCTTTCTTTATGTCTTTGCACTCGATCACCCCTGAACGATGATTCCCAGATTCCCAGCATCGTAAAAGCTCCAGACCACCTGTTCCATTTAATCCCTGCAGAAGACAAGCATACAAAAAATAAAAAAGGCTGGATTCCTCAGAGCCCCTACATGTACAGCAAAAAATGGTGTCTTGTCAAGTAAAATTATCTTAAATATAGTCAATAAATCTAATATTTCTCCTGTTGAGATTGTTGTAAGCTTAATTTAAGATTATTTACCTTATTACTAGACATTTGTACTGGCATGATGATTATGCTTGTTGTAAGAAACGTGCCTGAAACCAGCTAAATTATCTGCCAGTATAGTGAGATCATTTTACTCAATAAAATGACCTAAAACAAGTAAATCATGTCTAGAAATAAGCGAAATAATCTTATAATAAGTGCACAACCATCTCAAAATGGGAAACATTAGATATATTAACGAGATTCAAGATCATTTTACTTGACACGAGACCATTTTTTGCATTGTGGGCCCAAAGTGATTGAATTATTTGTAGAAAATACTGACTAATCAGTCTTTATATATTTTTTTTACTTCATATTTAATCTTAAGTATAATATTTTAAGATTAATAACAGTAGTACGCCTATGATATAAAGGGTTAAGGTGGAAATCTGCTAGAATTTCATAATATGTGGAGTATTTTGAAGAAACAATGGTAAATTCTAGAGAAATGTATTCAATTTTTTATTAAAATGTTTGTTACAAGACAAAATAGCCAAGCCATGAATCAAATCCACATGCCTTTTTTTAATGTAACACTGATAATGCTAAAATAGAGATAAAAATCTGTAAAAATCTGTTTTCTTTGGGTATTATTTTTCCTCTTTGCTTGGCGAATTTCTCTAGAGTAGACAAACCAACTAATCTGTGGAATCCCCTCTTTTAACAGCAGGTTTGGGCTTCACTGTTGCCTTTAAACACCCATTCTATTACTGAATGTATTGATTTCTGCGTTATGAAGCTTTTTGAGCTCGGCACAGATCCATCAGTCTTCTGTCCATCAGTCTATATTAGGTAAAGCTAAAGTGTTGGGTGATCACCAGAATCTAACCTTTCAACCAAGCAGAATTTGCAACAGGGAGCAGCTTCGCTCACACAATAAGCATTTGTATTGTAGATTTCGGTCCATTATGGTGGCTTATAGTGAGTGAGTGACTTCCTGGCTGATCGTATGTCGGTGGGGCTTTGAGTTAATCCCGCAGGCTGAGGGAAGCAAACACAGGCTTCCACTGGCTCAGCTCAAGCCCGGCGGACATTGCTTTAATGGCATGGAAGATAGCAAGACCTCGTGTGACATAGATGACTTCTCTTTTTTTACCCCTCAGATTTTTTTCCATCTTTATATGGTTTATGCTTCATGTTTTACTGTTTCCATTCATTTGTAACTGGCTTTTCTGTGATATGGCTTCTACTGTTTCATTTTAAAAGTGCTCTATAATGTTCATATGATCCACACAGTCATTCTGACAGACTGTAATGCATTGCAGGAAGTGTAGGGGGCGATATGGCTTCTATTGTTTCATTTAAAAAGTGCTCTATAATGTTCATATGATCCACACAGTCATTCTGACAGACTGTAATGCATTGCAGAAAGTGTAGGGGGCGATATGGCTTCTATTGTTTCACTTAAAAAGCCTCTATAATGTTCATATGATCCACACAGTCATTCTGTAATGAACTATAAGAAGTGTAGGGGGCGATATGGCTCCAACTGTTTTTTTGCACCATTGTTATAGTGATTTATGCCATAACAGTCATTTCTTTTTCTGTTTTATGATTTCAACACAAAACAAAGGAGTCAGCTGTCAGTGCTGCCATCCATGATGCTGATGATGACAACATGCACACCCACCGTGTAACGTCGCCCACCGTGTACAGTCACTGCATTAGTCAAGGAAAATAATACTAGAATAGATGGAAAACAGCAGAAGCCAAAACACATCTTGATTTCTGAACTGGTATCTTAGACAAACAATGATCTCCACACCTTCTACAGTCCTTTCAACCAGCTTCTTTGTCAATTCTGGGTGCATAATAACAGAATCACAATATAAGACAAATGACATGGTGCTTCCAACCTAGTATTCTCATGATATTCTCATACAAGCATGAATCTCTTCACTTTCCTTTGTCCATCCAACCATCTCAGTTCATCTATCTAAGTGTAGATTGACTCTCAGCGGGGGGGCTTTGCTCTCCCTGTGCTCATGGCACTGATTTGAGAAGCTCGGTTGTGCTCTGGGAGCATTGAGGAGGTACACTAGCTCTGCTACAACCTTTATAGGTTCTGAATGATCTCAATGCAACAGCACTCATTCACCAGCCTCCCTGCAGCCAGCACTGCTTATTCACACCTCACTGCATGCAGCAGAATTTATCTGTGCTCTCCGATGTGTGATCGTGTGCGTATCTGCTGTGAAACAGGAATGACACGATGCTGTGACCATAATGAGACCCGCATTTGCTTCTCAGGACCAGAACGTGCTCTGTTTCATCAAACTGGTCTCCTGGATGGAACAACATCTTCATTATTTTCTGAATTCTCCCCATAATGCAGTGTGTGAGATATAAACAGAGTGATTCAGAGTGGTTTGGTGTGAAATGGTTCAGATGTCTTTACAGTGGTGGTGATAGGAACCAGGGGTCGCCATGACTACAACACTAATATAGACATTTTATTTACTATCAAAACCACCAGTGAACCTACACGAGTCTTCTGAGTTTATATGGAATGTTGATGATGGAAAATAGTGGGAAAATCTGAAATAATAAGTTTTCTTCAGGGACTATTTTAACCTCACAACGCCCTGCATATTATGTATTCCTCCACGATGATGGGTTTAAGGTCAAAATCTTCTCAAAACTATCATAAAACAGTGTCTCAGTCATCAGGCAGGGAATCCATAACCATTTCATGTAATAACTTTCTTTGAGGGAGCTTTTAGAGGTGGACGTCTGGTTCCTATCACCACCACTGTGAACAATTCTGACTTGGTAAGTTTCTCTACAATGTAGCGTTTCATACCAAACCACTCTGAATGACTCTGTCTGTTTAATTATTTAGAAATTTTGGAAAAATCATTGCAGTTTCCCTTTAAAGCAGAGCCTTATAAGGATCCCTCCATTTTAAAATTTAAGTACTTCCAGATAAGTAGCTTCTATACCAGTTAAAGGTCTTTCCTAGAACCGCACGTCCAACCCGAGAACCACTGAGGAACACTGGGTTCACCAACCGTTCCTAAGAAGAAATTTCTTCTTAAAACCGCAGTTTTCACAAAGACTCTGATTTACCAATGTTTTCTTTTGTGGGATTTGTTCTCAAGAACAGAATCTACACACACTCAAGAGCACAAAGGTGAGAACAGTTCTGCGCTTTAAGAACACGTCATGAATCTGACGCAGACTTTTTCTCAGGATCTTTTTCAAGAACGCATTTAGGAACAAACTTAGGAAGATACTGATGAACGAGGCCTCTTCATTCTGTGAGCCAAATGAAGCGCCCTTTATGTGCCTTGTTGAAAATATGTGTTCATATTCATAGGCCTGGTTCATATTCACACACATTATTATTATGTCATGCCTTAGGAGTATGAGTCTCCGTGTGACTGCTCTATTTAGAGCCGGAATGAGTCAATGTGTTGCTCCAGGAGGACAATGAAGAACAGAATGGCCTTCATGAGCGAGAAAGGGAATTCTGCCTCTCCGCAGATGATGATGCACCGCTTCCTGAAAAGTAGAGGAGAAATTAAAATAAAAAGTATATATATTAAAAAGCAGTGCGCTCTGGACAGATAGGGCTCTTAACTTAGAGACTCAGGAGCATGTTTTAGTTTTTGGAAGTCACAGTTACCACCAGCAATGAAAAAAACTTGATGTAGTTTTTAATATAATTTTTTAAGATTCACTGAAAATAGATTCTACACTTTCAAACCAAACCACATTAGTGTATAAGAGAGGATATTTTATTATGATTTGGTTGATGATGTTGCATGCAGAGTCTTATTTTGCAGAAGTAAAAAAGATGCCTTTACATTCTTGCTGTTTTTATTACATCAAAACAAACAGAAAAAGTCATATAAACATAAATATAGCTGTGTAACACACTATGTAATAAATACATTGAAACAGTGTAGTAAAACAAAAGTGATAACTCTCAAACACAAACTTACTTATTTTAACAAATCATATGAACATTATAGAGCGCTTTGTAACTAAAACAAAAGAAGTCATATCGCCCCCTACAATTTCTGTAGTGTATTACAGTCTGTCAGAGTGACTGTGTGGATCATATGAACATTATAGAGCACTTTTTAAACGAAACAATAGAAGCCATATCGCCCCCTACACTTCCTGTAGTGTATTACAGTCTGTCAGAATGACTGTGTGGATCATATGAACATTATAGAGCACTTTTTAAATGAAACAATAGAAGCCATATCACCACCTACACTTCCTGCAATGTATTACAGTCTGTCAGAATGACTGTGTGGATCATATGAACATTATAGAGCACTTTTTAAATGAAACAGTAGAAGCCATATCGCCCCCTACAATTTCTGTAGTGTATTACAGTCTGTCAGAGTGACTGTGTGGATCATATGAACATTATAGAGCGCTTTTTAAACGAAACAATAGAAGCAATATCGCCCCCTACACTTCCTGTAGTGTATTACAGTCTGTCAGAATGACTGTGTGGATCATATGAACATTATAGAGCACTTTTTAAATGAAACAATAGAAGCCATATCACCCCCTACACTACCTGTAGTGTATTGCAGTCTGTCAGAATGACTGTGTGGATCATATGAACATTATAGAGCACTTTTTAAATGAAACAATAGAAGCCATATCACCCCCTACACTACCTGTAGTGTATTGCAGTCTGTCAGAATGACTGTGTGGATCATATGAACATTATAAATTAGAGCAAAATCTGAGCCTTG